AAGCCAAAACAGTAATTAAAACAAATGCAACACATGCACACCACTTACTTTTTTACATTTGAATGGTGACAACTTAAAATAAAGATTTGGGGGGGGGTGTCTTGGTATCACAAGTTATTGGTTGTTTAGAGCCTGTATAGGAAAATGTACATCAGAGATCTGAAAAGGTATTTTATTTGGATTACAGTTTCCACAATCTCCTCAGCCAGCATCACTAGTAGCTGTGCTGCTTGGAGGTATAGTCTAAAGGGGGGGAAAAGCCATGTTGTAAGTGCCGGTGTAGACATATGGCAGAAAGGAATCTCCTCAGCCAACATCACTAGTAGCTGTGCTGCTTGGAGGCATAGTCTAAAGGGGAAAAAAAAAGCCATGTTTTAAGTGCCGGTGTAGACATATGGCAGAAAGGCCCAGGGCTGGAGGCTTGATGTCAAGAAACCAGTGCAACATATGCCCATCTCTTGTCTTCGGGATCCGTGAATACGTCATCTACCCATCCAGCTGCTGTCTGCCTTTTCTTACTGATCCACCTACATACAGGTTATCTACCCACACATATTTCCAACCCACTTGCATCCGCTTCTGCTCTATCGCAGCCGGCCCTCCCCATGTAAACTTCCCTTGCATGGGCCCTGATCTCTCCAGCTCTCGGCTTCTCCTGAATATTAAGCTGAGAGGCAGGAAGGGCTGAACAGGAGCAGCAACTGATCGCCATGGAATGGGCAGGGGAATGGAGCAGGGAAGGGGCTTGCTGAGAGTATTGGGGTGTTTCTGGTGGCACTGAGGATTGGCAGAAGCACAAATGCCAGCATTTTCAATGCATGTTGGAAGAATCCCTTAACTTGTTGGGAGGACTAGGATGAAAGGCCAGGCAGCTGGCCGCTCCACCCCCACCACCTCACCTAACCATGCAGCTGCAGCCGCTGTTTTCAAGGGCAGCGCAGCAAGCAGCCTTTGACATGTCAAGAGCACAGTGGGTCCCTGCGGTGGAGTTTCGCCCTGGCTGTGTGGAATGCACACAGAGATGGACACACAGCCTTCTTGAGCTGCCCTATCCCCTTTCCCTCCTCTCCATACCAACCTTGACACACAATAGCTATGTACAAAAGTGGCAGCAGCAAAGGGAATTAAAAGGAGAGAGCATCTTTTCACAGCTCATAATTCCAATCCAAGCATTTCCCTGATCCGTTCTCAAGACAAATCCTTTACTACTATGACAGAATATACTATGGTTTCTATCTCCCCTTCTTGAGTGGTGAGAGTGGAAAACTAACCTTTAGTTTAGCTGAAAAGGTTCATTTTGGAATCCACTGGGGATTCTGGGACTTCTAGTGCCCACCCCCAAAAGAAGTTTTCCAAGGTCTGATGTCACCTACTGAAAGAACCGATGAGGCTGCTTCATGTCAAGTCAAGCTGGTGGTTTAAGGCAGAAATCCCTCTTTCCCATCCTCATGTAGAGATGTTCGGAATTGGACACTGAGGCCTTATGTATACAAACTCCATGCGATGGAGACCCTCTCTCTCTCTCTGTATTTGTGTGTGTGTTGCTGGAGACCCTCTCTCTCCCTCTCTCTCTATGTGTGTGTGTCTGTGTGTTGTCTTCTGTTTGGCCAAAGATAAAAATTAGAAGGTGGTGCTTTACAGTTGAAAAGGAAGGAGATAGTTCAAGAAGCAGATCGGGGAACAGGGATACAGCCTATGCTGGATGAGGTTGTTCAGCTTGGGGGTGCTCCTGGATTTGTTTCCGAGTCTGGATGCCTTGGTATTGGTGGTGCCCAGGAGTGCCTTTGTACAATTAAAACTAGTGTGCCAGCTGTGCCCATTCCTGGAGAGGTCTGATTTGGCCATGGTGACACATGCCTTAGTTATATCCCACTTGGGTTACTGTAACACTCTCTATGCGGGGCTGTTTCTGGAAAGTGTCTGGAAAATTCAGTGGGTCCAAAATACAGCAGCGAAATTGCTGACTGGGGCTGGTTCCAGGGATCGCATAACCCTGCTGTTACAGCAGCTCCCCTGGCTGCCAATCCATTTCCTGATTGAATTCAAGGGGTTCATTTTAACTAGAGATGGGGGTATTTGTATACACTTGAGCAGGCTCACGAAGGAAGATGTGGCCCTTGAGATAGCTTGGGCCCAAGCCATTCAGGGCATCATAGGTTAAAACTAGAGATGGGGGCATTTGTGTACGAATATCCCCGCACAGGTGGCGTTAACGAGGGTCCAGTCCCATGGGGCCAGACGGTCCACTCACCGATCCGCCGCAGATGGCGCGATTCTACAAATGACTCTGCAGCGCACGATCCGCTCACGACTCCTGCCAGGAGGCGGGAGGACAAGCCTCGCTGCAAAGTCGAAGCATGGTGAGCGGATCGCATGCTGCAGCGCCATTTGTAGAATTGTGCTCTCCGTGTCAGATCAGTGAGCGGACCACCCGGCCCCTTGGGGCTGGACCCTTGTTACCGCCACCTGTGCGGGGATATTCGTATTCGTATACAAATACCCCATCTCTAGTTTTAACCTATAATGCCCTGAGTGGCTTGGGCCCAAGCTACCTTAAGGGCCACATCTTCCTTTATGAGTCTACTCGAGTGTTCAAATCATCAGGAGAGGCCTTTCTCTCAGCTGGTCCACCTTCACAGGTGCATCTGACAGGGTCACAGGAGAGGGCCTTCTCTGTTGGTCCTCCCAGACTTTGGAACTCCCACCCACAGGAGACCAGGCTAGCTCCATCTTTGCTGTCCTTCTGCAACCAGGCAAAAATCTTTCTCTTCAGCTTTCCCTTAATAACTGGCTCCTGAGTGGGAGTTTTTAATGGATTTCTTTACCTTACTATTTTGAATCTGTTTGGGTGTTGCTTATTTTTTTTTTGTATGACATTTACTAGATCCTTTTTAGTATTTCTATGCTCGTTGTAAGCTTTTACATTGCCTTTTAATGATGTAAGCTGCATTAGGTCTTTTTAAGGAGAAATGTGGGGTAAAAATATTTTAAATGAATGACTGAACGAACATCTGAATTGGGTCTTTTTAAGGAGAAATGTGGGGTAAAAATATTTTAAATGAATGACTGAACGAACAAACAAAAAATGAACAAGCAAACAAACAAACAAATGAGATCCTCAGCATCATCAGACCTTCTTATATATCCATCCCATCATCTGCAACCTCCACTCAAAAGGCACAGAAAGGCAAACTACGTCTCAAACCTTTGCTCTTCTAACTAATGTAAACATCTTAAGCAAAGCAAAGTGTGCTGCTTATATACCGCCCCAGGTTTACAAGTTACTTACGCAGGCTACACATTCCCCCCCCCTCCCAGCGAGCTGGGTACTCATTTTACTGACCTTGGAAGGATAGAGGGCTGAGTCAACCTTGAGCGGACTACCCCATCCCATCATCTGCAACCTCCACCCAAAAGGCCCAGAAAGGCAAACTACGTCTCAAGCCTTTGCTCTACTAACTAATTTTAACATCTTAAGCAAAGCAAAGTGTGCTGCTTATATACCGCCCCATAGTGCTTCAAGCACTCTCTGGGCGGTTTACAAGTTACCATAATTATGCAGGCTACACATCCCCCCCCCAGCGAGCTGGGTACTCATTTTACTGACCTCAGAAGGATAGGAGGCTGAGTCAACCCTGAGCCAGCTATCTGGGATTGAACCCCAGGTTGTGAGGCACAGTTTTGACTGCAGTACAGTGGTTTAACCACTGCACCACAAGGCTCTTCCACTGTGCCACGAGGCTATCACGATGGCATCTCAATAGTTCTTGTTTGTGGTCTGTAGCGTAAGGTGTTGTTTCCATAAACACAGGTTTAAGAGGTTATTTGGATGGATGGTTGCATAAATATATAGATAGGTAGAGAACTGTTTCAGAATGATTTACCTGAGTGTTACAGCACACTAGAGAAAAGATGAGACTAAATGTTGCTGCTACTTAACACATTTGATGTGGCCTAAAAGATTGTATTATTGAACCTGAATGTGGCAATATTCCAATCTTTCTTTCTTTATTTATTTTTATTTATTTATTTTATTTATATCCCGCCTATCTGGTCGGTTAAGACCACTCTTCAGCATAAGGTGTTATTCCTGTATACACAGGTTTAAGAGGTTATTTGGATGGATGGTTGCATAAGTATATACTGTAGATAGGTAGAGAACAGTTTCAGAATGACTTACCTGAGTGTTACAGCAGACTAGAGAAAGGATGAGACTAAATGTTGCTGCTACTTCTTAACACATTTGATGTGGCCTAAAAGATTGTATTATTGAACCTGAATGTGGCAATATTCCAATCTTTCTCTCTGAGAGAATTGTTCTTTTTCTGACTAATTTTCTTTCTGTAAAATAGACATTATGCAGAATAAATTGGTGTTCATGAGATTACTTAAATCTGATCACTCATCCAAGGAGTTCAAGACATCTGATGTGGCTTTCCCCTCATTGTATCTGTCTAAGAACTCTGTGAGGGCATGAAACTGTCTACTAGTTGCTAGCCCAATATCAGTAAGTGAAAAACCTTCATGGTCAAGGGGCTGATTTGAATCTGGGTCTCCAAGGTTCTACACCAACCCTTGAATACCTAAATTGTACCGTGGCCCTCAGTCTCAGAGACTGGTAATAATTAGTTACAAAGACTTGGAAATAACTAGTTACATTTCATTACCTGCAACTAGTTTTTTGGGGAAGCATGATGGAATGTAGGTTACATTTCGGAGCTAATATAACAGCATTAATCTACAGTGTGCCAAGTGATATTTTCTAGTTACCTGGAGATGTTAGTAATGAATTTAGTGAGACCATTAAAAAATCCCTGCTCCAGATGCTGCTCAGTCATTGTTGGTCATTGTTGGGTTTGTAAAGCTCTCAGAATATTAAAGGTGTTATATCCACAGATAATTCCTGGGGAAGAGGAGCTGAGCTCAAATATCTTATGTACACTCCTTCTCTGCATTCCACCTCTGCTGATCCATTGTTTTTCTCTTGCTGTGTTTTTCAGGTCTATCTGGGGCAGGGCGTGTGCCCTGCAGCTCGCATCCCTCCAGGTGGGGGGCATCCATCCACCAGCCCCACTTCCCTTTTCCCTACCCCTCTGGTCTTCAGCTTCATTCCATGGGGGTAGATGGCATGTATGAGAAGAGCAGGATGCTGAACATACAGAACAGTGCATGGGGTGGTCGCCAAGAGTGGTATCAAGACAATTTGGTGACTGGACCACCGAACCCTGGTATGAAATGGCTATATGAACTGTGCTTGCGCAGCATGTACACATGCACACAGAGAAAATGTTCCTTTCTTGCCCTCCTCTCCCATAACCCATTAGACTACAGCTTGGGAATTTGTGGTCTTCCAAGAACATCTGGAGGGCCACAGGTTGTGAGGATGCTTTCATTCCTCCCAGTCCTGTTTTAGAGCATGGGATGGGCTTTATTAAAGGCTAGCTATATGTTACATTCAAAGGTGTGTGAAAGAGCCAAGTTTCCTGTCTTGCATTTTAAAGAGAAGTCATTTAAAAAGAATGGACTGTTGAGAGGGCAAACAGGTATCTGTGTATGTGTTTGCATTCTTGACTCTTTTGAACTCGTCCAACCTGGTTCTCATCTCCCCAGTGGCTTTCCATCACCTTTCAAGTTTCAAGTGCTCTGTCCTGAATTTTTTTACAAGCAAAGCTTGGGAACGATAGTGTTTCGGACTACAGTTCCCACTTGACTCTGCTAGCTGAGGAGAGCTAAAGGCGTATACATCTTGAGCTGCCCTAATAAGTTCCAAGTTGTTAATCCCTTTGTTCTCGTTATATATTGTGAAGTCACTTGTGTGGTAAGACAACACTGTGAATTAGTGACCTCCAAAATATCCTGTCATTAACGTCTCTGCTGAGCACTTGCAAACTGAAGGCTGTGGCTTCCTTTATTGGTCTTTCTCTTTTCCTGTGGCCTTCAACTTTTCCTAAGCACGAGTCTCTTGGAGAACCTACAAAAATAAGCAAGGGTGTGTGAATCCCCCCCACACACCCTATTCCAGTGAGTGCCTCTGTACCTTGCACACAGTGAAGGCTGCCGGATTTGCATCCAGGGCCAACAGGAACACCCAGCAGACTTGGCTATTTGTTGGCATCCTCTGCCAAACACCTGGGTCTAGTTGCTGCTGTTTGAATGTCCCCAAGCTATTGTGGGCAATGTAAATGGTGACCAGAACACTTTGTTCTCCAATCTGGAGCTCCCTGTCTACATGTTGGGTCAAATATCAGTGTTTGGGATATTTCCCTACACCAAGTCCACAAGTTTGCGTTTTTGCTTTTTTTTAACCTCACATTCATTCATTCATTCATTCATTCATTCATTCATTCATTCATTCATTCATTCATTCATTCATTTACCCACCTCTTCTCCATTTTTATCCACATAAAAAGCCTGTGAGGGGATTTGGGCTGAGAGAAACTGACCAACCCGAGTTTACCTTGTGAGTTTCATGGCTCATCAGAAATTACAACCCGAATCTCTAAGTCTCAGTGATACATTTTCTCCAGTACACTACGTTTGCCTTTTTGAGAAGGCATCTTTAAAAAAACCCTTCTTATCTGCCTTCAGCCATTTGGATCTCTGAAAAAATCCTCTCTAAAGAAAAGAGGACTGTGACGTGAGGAGCTGTCAGAGGAAGAAGGGGAGAGGAAAATTTCTTCCAGGAGCTTCTTTAAACCACCTTATCTTAAAATCCAGTCCTGTGTGTGACACACACACCCCTTTCTTTCAAGCCATAGAATATCTTGCAGGTATTTTCAGTAATCGAAGCCCTTTGCTTCTAGTTTTGAACTATGGGCATCAAAAGAGATATGCTGAATAAAGGCCTACCTAGTCTAGCAGTTTCTGGTTGGCCACTGCTTCCAGAGTAGTCAACCAGAAGGACAACATGAGCTCTACAGAGCTTTCTCTGTCATGGTCCGTAGTAGCTGGTTTTCAAAAGGTATATTACCTGATATTGGCTGTTATATTAATTATCAATGGGCCTATCCTCTATAGTTTGTTTAATTCCGCTTTTTAAAATGCCATAGCTCAGGGGGCAATAAATACCACAGTTTAATTATATGCTGCATAAAACAGCAAGACAGCAGCTTCACAATTAGAAGCTGAACTATTTTAAAAACTAAAGGATATCTGATTACTTTCCAGCTTTGGAAGTTGCTAATTAGCTTGCTTTTGTTTGATAACTGATCATGAGGAGTGAGACACCAGACTTCCTTTTTGCATGTTGACTGTGGAAATAGCCAGGTGTGAAGAAGATACCTCTATGAAAAATGCATTTTATCATTTTCTAATTGAGAAGATGGTTGGTTTCCCCTCTGATACATTATGTCCCACATGTAGAAGAGAGCTGGCTTCAGCTAACACCTTGTATGTAGCACTTATCTGGGTAGAGAAATAAAAGGTGTTATTTACAGCTACAATTGGTAGCATTAGCCACTGGCTTTGAAGAGGGAACTGATTTATGGAGAAGAAACCACTTGCACCCTAGTTGCTGGGCAGCAGCAACATAAATGGGTCTTCATTCCTGGGTTTTGGGATCTGATTGGTCATGGGGAGGCAAGACACTGGAAGCAGATGGACATTTGCTGTGATCCAGCAGAACTCCTCTTAGGTTATTCTGTTAGGGATTTTAGTTATTACTCCATATGTAGTATTATAACATTAAATTCTATGAAAACTGAATGAGGTAATTATTTGTCTATGAGCCTGTTCCTTATAAATAGGCAAATATTCTCATATACAGTAGTTCCTTGGTATACATCTTATGGATGGGGAATAGAAGTCCTCCAGTTTATCACACTGTAGCTCTTAGCAATCTTGCTTCTTGTGTTTTTTGTTTGTTTGCTTGCTTGTTTTGTTTACACATTCAGTTTATATTCTACCTCTCTCCCAAGAATAGAACTCACCTTGTTTCTATTCTTCATGGCAACAGAGATCCATAGCTGTGGGGGGGGGACGACATGCTAAACTCCTCAGCAAACCATTCTTTGTCCTCCGTGAACAATTTACTCCCCGACCATATTGAGCAGCAGCAATTTCTGGTTGGCAGCAACAGTAACTACTTCCTTTGGATAGCGAAAACCAACTAATGGTGATAGGTCTTATACTGTGGTATTCCCACTTAAATTGAAGTACAACAGATGAACATTCCCAATAATTGGATTCAAGGGAGTGGGTAGGGAAGTATAGGAGTTCTTACTGAAACCCACAATTTTGCTTCCTAAATCTCCACATTTTAGCCAAATCATGTCCCTGTAGCCCTTGAAAACTACTGTATAGTTCAGGAGGGCCAGTGCTCCTGACAAGGGAGAAGAACTTAATAGTCCTACCTAAATCCTCCCATCCCTGTTTTTGACCATTCATTGCAGCATTGAGAATTATTTCTGCAAATAACTGAGATAATAAGAAAACAAATGGCTTCTTATCCTTTCTCAGGCATCAGCCACCACATTCACAACAGCCATCCTGCTTTCTGGGATGAAAGAAGGTGGTGGGTGGGAGGGGGAGAGAGGTAACCTGGAAGAAGGATTGCCTCTGGATTGATCCCGGTGAGGTGTGAGCAGTCAAATCAGGGGTTGCTTTGGTGTAAAGGTAGTGCTGCTGGAATGCCAGGAGGCCAATAGCTTGCTCCTGTTTCTTGCTGCTCTGCAGTGTGACAGAAATGTGCCCCAACTCTTAATGTTAAACTCTGTGATTTAACATTATTTTTGATGACTTTATGAACATGTTGCATGATCGCTGAGGTGCACTTTCTATCCATTCTGTATGGAATTGGAAATGTGTCTCAGTCTCTCCACTGACACAGCCTAGTTATGCTCCGGCTCCTTTCTTCCTACTCCCCGCCTGATATTCTCGGCTGGTTTGCGTGACACCCATGTACTGAGAGGCTGGTGCTCTTCTGTAGGCATTAAGAAAGGTCCCCCCCTCTCTTTTTTCCTTCTCTCCATCTGTGCTGTTTTTAGATACTATGCATGGCCTCCACTCCCCACACTTCCCTTCTCTCCTCAGCTTCCCCCCCCCCACCCGTCCCATTTCCCCTCTGGGTTTATGCAAGTGTGTTTCCTCCCTTTGCATTCTGCAAAGATCTCTCAGCAAAAACAGAGCTGATGGGGATGTGGGGACAAAGCTGGAGTGGGGTGGGGGACGGGGGGGGCGGGATCAGGCAGGCAGGCTGTCTTGAGGGGGGAGGCAGTGGAAAGAAGAGGAGGAGGAATCCTGACAACACTGTGTCTGGGCCAGGGCCAAGCAGAGACACTCTTCACCGAGGGGGCCTTTTGGATCTCATTGCTTCAGGGGCTGCAAAGGATTCGGGGAAGGAGGGGGAAGCGAGCTGGCAGTGTCGCCTCGCATTAGGGCACCGCGGCTGACGTCGCGGCTTCGCATCGCCTGCGGAGATCCGAGTGCTGGGCTTTGCAGAAGCTAAGAAAGGTCACTGTTCAGACCAGAGCTCCCTTGGGATAAAAGGTTAAGCCCTTGTGGCATTCCCCAAACCCTCAGCTGCCACCCCACCCACTGCCCCTTTCACAGAGAGCCCCCTGGTCCCCAAATCGCAGCACCCACTTTTCTTCTAGCTTCTCTTCTGTGCCAACCCCAAGGAGAGCCTCTCCCCCCTCCCCACTCCTCAGAAAGCTCAGGGTTCCTCCTTATACATGAATAACACATATATGCAGAACGTCACATCCACAGAGATCTCATTTCTTGGCCAGCTCAACCACTTTCCCCCGGGATAGAACCCAGGAGTCCTGCCCTTTCCGCTCCCTGTAGGCCTCGGAATCACTTGTGTGGGAAACACAGGGCGGCCCCTTGCCCACACACAACATACACTACATACTGCATACCCTGAAACCAAGACACTACACCTTGAGTGTGCAGCGATGGATTAACAATTTTCTTAACACTCACTAATTAATCATTCATCCACTGTTTATAAACTATTAATAAATAGTTGTCACTGTGAACAAATGCCAGTGCAGTCAGCCAGGAGGAAGTTATTTGGGGGGGGGAAACCTTGGTTGATGTTGAGCAGGTGGCATCAGTGATGAGACAGGATTGAAACAACATATGGGCAGTGAGGCGATACAGCCATCGCCAGGGACAGTTCCAGATTTGAGGGGGCCCTTGCTGCCCAGTGGCCTTCCTTACTAATCAATACATCCTGCTAGGGGTGTAGGCCAACAGGAGAAGCAACAGCCGCAGGTCTAGTCAGCATTTAAATTTCCCAGAATATTCCAAGAGAATGTTATAGAAGGGCATTAGGGGGAATTAAAATGGAAACTTAGGTATAAATGTCTGGTGCTGTTTGGAGCTTTGGACCCAACAGATAACTTATGTATGTATGTATGTATGTATGATCTGGTGCTGTTTGGAGCTTTGGGCCCAACAGATAACTTATGTATGTACGCACGCACGCACGCACGCACGCACGCACGTATGTACAGTGGTGCCGCACATGACGACGATAATCCATCCTGTGAAAATCGCTGTTTAGCGAAATCGTCGTCATGCGAAAACCCTTTCCCCATTGGAATGCATTGAAACCCGGTTTAATGCATTCCAATGGGGAAAATACCTCGTCATCCAGCGAAGATCGCCGAAAGCCATTTTGCGAGCGCCCATCAGCTGTAAAAATGGCTGCCCTGTGAAGCATGGGTCCGGAAAACAGGATCGTCTTATACTCGGAAGTAAGCTGAGGAGAGAACAAAAACAAGTGGAGGGGAAAGCAGGGATCAAAGTGATCCTGCAGCACTTTGATCCCTTCCCCCCTACATTTGCTAATCCCCACTTAGATTTCTTAATTTTGGATTAGAAAAATGGGGTATCTTATACATGGGGGCGTATTATTCACGGAAAAATTCAGTATCTTTGTATTTATTCATTTATTTATTTATTTCATTTATATCCCGCCTATCTAGTCAATTGTGACCACTCTAGGCGGCTTACAACATACACTTAAAAAAAATTAAACATATAACATATCATATGTTTTATGTTGTATTTCCGGATCTGTTTGTATGTTATATTTCCGGATCTGGTGTACTCTGCCAGTGGTGCTGGTATGGCAAACATGGCTTCCAAGCCCTCTAAAATTGTTATATCTGCTCTAGCCATTAAAACCTCCTGTATCACGTTGCCTCTCAATAAAGCAATGGCTGGAGAAATTATGTTAGTTGCTTAAATAAGTAAAAGTAAAGAAGATTTTTGTTTGTTTGTTTCACATGTTGTTGCTCATCCCCAACCACCAGATAGCTGTCAGCAACTGGAGAGTGGCCTAGATCCTGACCATTCACAAGGTGCAAGCAGTCAAGATCTGGATGAGTCCCAAATCCGTTTGCAGCTGAAGCGCAAACTGCAAAGGAACCGGACATCTTTCACCCAGGAGCAGATAGAGGCACTGGAGAAAGGTGAGAAAGGGATGGCGGGCGCAAAGGGTAACAATGTTGAGGTGCTCCAGAGGGCTTTCCAAATGGCTAGAATGCTACCCTTCTCATTAGCCATCCAAATGTTGATTTGAAGTGAGCAGGGGGGTGGAGAAGGTGTGGATCAGGGTTTTCACAGCACACACATGTGCACGGTCATAGTGTCCTGGTGCATAAGTGGCTGCCAAGGTAACTCCATTTTTGACACACATACTCTGACCCATGGCCGTTGTCTGTAATAAAGAGGAATGCAGAGGTGTCTGGCTGACATCACTGTCTGCCTTGCCATTTCAGTGCATATATGTTGCCATATACACCATAGCCAGTCCACCCACTTAGCCAGCTCGTCAGACTTGGCGCAGAAGATTTTCTCCTGACTGCATTTGAGAAATCAGGTGGATGTGTGATTTAATTTCCAGTCCGAATATCTTTCCAGACCATCCAGCAGAGGAATGTTTAAGGCTCTAGTGTATACTTTGCACATTCAGCCAGTCTAGTGTTTTGAACCAGAAGGTGGGAAGAGCTCAGAATATTATTGCTTTATTGTGTGGCAATAAAGAAGACACTGTCTCTGAGTGTATGCAGACTGTTGCTCTGTTTCAGAATTACTATTTTTATTTATTTATTTAAAAATATTTGTATCCCACCTTTCTCCTTAAAAGGACCCAAGGTGGCTTAGCTTACATCATTAAAAAGATTGTACAGTATTTAAAAGGTAAAAGCAGTAGGTATACAAATATTAAGAAGCATTAAACAAGTATACTAAAAACAGTAAATAAAATCAGTACTAAAAACACATTGAAAAGCAACAATCTATTTAAAATACCCCTCTTTTAGCATTAGATATTTTCTTAGTGCAAATAGCAGCTAGAAATCTTTGTTAGCTTACGTTAGTTTATGAATTTTAAATGTTACTTTTAAGGAAAATGCTAAAAGAAACTGGAATGGCCCTTCCTTTGCACATCTGGCCAGCCCACATTTTAGAACCTGGAGCTAAACAGAGCTTAGAAAAATTGACATCAAGTTGTTTAATAATAAGACAGCAACTTCATGAAATCTCATGCTTTAAGACAGGCAACTTTCCCCAACCTGACAGTTTCCACACATGTTGGACCACACCACCCGCAATCAACAATTACCGTATTTTTCTGTGTATAAGAGTATATTTTTGTCTAAAATCTTTAGACTAAAATTGGAGGGTCATCTTATACATGGAAGTCAGCTGAAGTGAGAACAAACATACACATGTGCACGGTCATAGTGTCCTGATGCATGATAAGTGGCTCCCTTTCCCCATACACTTGCTAAGCCCCACTTTTTTTTCTTAATTTTGGATTAGAAAAGTGGGGGGCGTCTTATACATGGGGGCATCTTATACACAGAAAAATATGGTATACCCATCTGGAAAAAAAAGTGTCAGAATCTTCCAGACAATCTTATTGGGGCTCAAATCCTAACTGTTAACTAACTAGTACTAAGAGTCCCAGTAATTCAGTGCCATCCTTGCAGCTTGAAGGCATGTGGCTCTACCAGCTTTGCATTTGCCAGTGTCCAGCAAATTCCTGCTGTTGGTGACTACATTTGATGCATGCTTCCATATGCTTTGTCGGCTGTTGCTATCATGCCAATGCTTGGGAAGTGCCATAAATTCCACTTTCTGAAACAAAGCAGTACCAAATGTCCTCCCTCCTTCTGTGACTTTTGGATGGCAAAAAGTTATGGGAACTCAAACCAAAACAAAGCCCTGTCCTGACTCAGTGATAGGCCAGGGTGAAAATGTAAAGCTTTAAAGCTGCTCTAGGGCCTGTCATGATTACATGAAACAGATGTCAATTCTACAGATTTCCACATGCCCTACAGGAGGACCTAGTTGGATATTATACCCAGTGCAGTGGACAGAATGACAGACTCAGGACATCTGTGTCTGAGTTCCTGCTTGACCATGGAAATTCAGTGGAGTGGTAGGAAGAACTGGTTAACCATTGGTTTTTAACCTTTGTTACTCAGGTGTTTTTGAACTACAACTCCCAGAAACCCCAGGCAGCACAGCTGATGGTGAAGGCTTTTGGGAGTTGCAGTCCAAAAACATCTGAGTAACAAAGGTTAAGAACCAGTGGGTTAAACCGTTCCTTAAATATCTCACTTACTTTGAAAGCCCTGTCAGGGTTACTGTAAGTCAGTTTTAACTTGATGGCACGTAGAACAGTGTTGGGTATTACCCAAAACTACTCAACTAAGAAGACAGAGATTAAAACAGACGCCCTTCAATGCATCATAAGAATACAATTTTTTATTCCAATCAGAAGTTGCATCTAAGGGAACAACGCCAGCAGGTGCAGATCTTCCAGTCTTATCTGGTGCAGTGGATGATGGCAAAAAGCAATGACTGTGGGAAATCTTCCTTTCAGTACCATTTGTGGGATGACACTGATGCTAAGGTTCATAGAGCATTCTTCATCCCACTGATTTCCGTACTTTTGGCACTATTTTTATAGGATATCTGAGTCAAACTAGACTAGTTTTTACTCTTGCATTTTGTTTCCCCTAAATGAGAAATCAGTTCCCTTGAAATAAGCAGCAGCTCTGCGTGTGTTCAGAGGCTCTTTGCTGAGGATTGTTAAAAGTCCCAACACTGGTAACCCTATGTCAAAGTGTGCCCTGTGGAAGCTTCGAGGAGAGGAAGGAAGATCTCTATAGCCATCTGGTGGGCCCAAGTGCGGTTGCAGCCTGGGTACACAGTGCCCTGCCTTATAAATGATGTCGCTGTGTGATGCCATGTGCTGTGTTGGAAGTACCAGATCTGCAGTGCCATCTGCTGTCAGGAATGAAAGAAAGAGGTGTGAGAGGGCAGCAGTGTTGAGTAAGTGGGTGATATTGGCCATAATGCCTACTCAGAAGTCAGAAAAATTGCTTTTCTGGACTGCAGCTCCCAAGGTGCTTAGTCAGTATGGACAAAATGATTCTGGGCATGATTGTCAAAAAACTAACTTCTCCAAGCTCTCATGGAATATGACTGATTTCTAATAGCTATATAGCTTCCCACTTACAAAAATCTTTAATTGGAGGGCTGTATGTTTGGAGGTGTCCTCTCTGTGAAGAATTATGCCCAGGTCAAGATAAGTAACTTAAAGAAAAGAGGGCAAGGGGCTTGAGGTGGCCCATCTTCAGCAGCAAACTCGTAGACAGCAGACTGAACAGGGACAACATTTATTAGGACACAGAATTTTGCTCTGTGGGAGGATGTACTGCATTTCTATTTCAATTGCAATAATTATGTCTAAATTTGTGTCTCTCCATGTCCCTCCCCTCCTTTCTTAAAAATAAATGTTTTAAATGTAATTTTAAAAATATAATATGTTTCTTCTTTTTTATGAATTATCAGCAGCTGGCATTTTGAGAATATATCTGAATTTAAAACATGCAGTGTATTAGCATTCCTGTGAATGGCAGGAGAGAACAATCCAGAGCAGGCAACATCCCTATCTGTGATACATACATCCCATTGCTTGCAGGGTGATGTAGGAAAAGAGAAATTACCGTGTGATAAAGTTTGCCGTTTTGATTCCAATATCGTTTGTAGGCACTATTAGGAATACTGTATCAGTAATGATAATGTAATATGATGTATGGAACACCATATTACATGAAGGATGCTTAAAAATGTAATATATAAAGGGATGTACTCATAAGCTTTTTGCCAGATTGTGAAAGAATGCAAATGATCACTGAAAGCTGTAAAGGAAGTGAATTTATCTCTGTAACTTTGACTGCCCCCCATCATGTGTTCTTCAGAGTTTGAGCGCACTCATTACCCTGACGTTTTTGCCCGTGAACGCCTGGCAGCAAAAATTGATCTTCCAGAGGCTCGGATCCAGGTAAGGAGGAGGAGATGGCATGTCAATTTAAGAGGAAAGTAATGAGGACAAGATATCTCACAGCTTGGATGGAGTTGCCTGTTTTTGGACTAAAACTAGCAGAATCTCCCATGTCACCTGGCTAGGTGTTTCTGGGCACTGTAGTCCAAAAACAGACTCTGGAGTATTTATTATATTCCCCTGTAGTTGATGTAATGTCATTTCTCCCCCAGGTTTGGTTCTCCAACCGCCGGGCTAAATGGCGTCGGGAGGAGAAACTGCGGAACCAGAGGCGTCAAGCAGGGGGCACTGGGGGGCACCTGACCATAAACAGCAGTTTTGGCACTGGGGGCAGTAGTGTCTACCAGTCCCTCCCCCAGCCTACGGGGTCAGGTGAGAGCCATGTACTCCAGTTAACTCACTCATTTACTTCCTTAATAGCTTAAAATTTTCCAGGAGAATGACCCTGTCCTATATAGGAGCACTCCTGCTGCTGACTAAGCTGTACTGTATCAACTCACCATTCCAAGACTTAGGTTTCTGCCTTTTATTGTCTATGATGGTGTAGTGGAGCCAGGGGTCATGAGGTCAAAGCAGCAGGATTTACTGATTATCTGGAGTGATTACATCCTCTGCCACCCACTACTCTTTAGGCATCTCTTGTTTCTTCTGAGCTTAACTGCTTCTTCTAAGATCAGTTGTAAAAGCTGGGTGGAGAGTGGATTTTCTCATTGACAACTATCCCTCATGTAATGCAAAGTATTTGGGAACAGCTTGGTGATGAATGGGCAATTAATAGCTATTAGCTTTTTAAAAAATCTCCTACTCTTAGAGATGTAAACTGCTAGAACCGATTCCTTTATGTGGAGCAACACAGCTACCTGCTATTGTGGAGTCACCTTGAGTCATGGCCATGATGCTCTTCAAAGTTTGCCACTATTTAAGTCGCCACAAGTCACCTCTTCTTGTTTCAGGCACTATGTTAGGCCGTACGGAAAGTGCCCTCAGCAACAACTATGGTGCCCTTCCACCCTTGCCCACTTTCTCCATGGCCAACAGCCTTCCTATCCAGGTGAGTTTCAAAGGGACAAGCAAATATTCACACATAGATCTGTGTAGCCATTAGTCTACGTATGCAAATGCTGATCCTCTGAGGCTGTTAACCTCTGTTTCCCTTTCCTCCCATTTGTCCTTGGACAGCAAGCCGTACCCACCGTTGCCAGCCAGACGTCATCTTATTCCTGCATGCTCCCAGGTGGCTCATCGGTGCGAAGCTACGATTCCTACACACCCTCCCAGCTGTCCTCACATAACCTGAGCCCAAGCAACGGGGCCTCTACCGGTAATGGAAGGGTAGGAGGAGGCACAGCAGATGGGGAGTGGAAAGGAGCAGAGCTGGGAAGCATTACTGTACTGTACTTTTTTTTTTTACTATATATCCCAGTATCTCTCAGCTAGAATGGCCACATGTTAGTTAGGACTATTCTGGGAGTTTCTGTCCAGCCAAGTAACTTTTCAAAGCTCTGTGAGAATGAAGTGGGAGCAGGGCACTTTGAATTGTATATGTGCATAAAGCAGGGTTTTGGACTGGCAAGTGGGCAGAAGTGGCAACTGGGTAGATCTGGGAGGTGGAAGACACGTGAAAAGCCAATAAAGCAGTCTAGGAAAAAGCAGGAAGAAATTTGGAATGCTTCTTAGGTAATGATTAAATTTGGAATTCAGAAGATGGCTTCCAATGTGGATATTTTGGATACCTTTTTAACTTTAAACTGCAAGTTTCTAGCTCCTGTGACCTGAGAGCAATGGTAAATATGTTGACAGTTTTTGCTAAAAACACACACAGCATTTGAATATGTTTTTGCAGTTGTCAGTGGTGAAATGTATTCATTTCACACAATTTTGAGCTACCACACCGTGACCCAGAGTCTTCCTTTAGAGAGACCACAAGCCAATTTTCAGCCCTAGAGAGGAAAAAACAAAAACGTGAACATGAAATTTCAAATTCTGCAAAAGACTTCGAAAAACATTAGGCAAATAATCGAAACTACTTTTTTGCAGATTTGGATACGTCTGAGGTTTTTGGTATGGATTTCCAGCGCCATCAAAATAGATTATATAGATCAGGAGTGGGGAGTGTTGAGCCTTTTAGATGTTTTTGAGACATCTCCTATGGTTTCTTACCACAGGCCATACTGGCTGAGTCTTCTGGGACTTGAACTCCTAAACATCCCAAGGGCCACAAATGGTCAAGCCAGATTCTCACCTTCTCTTTAAACTGTATAGGCATCTCAGGAGCCCACCAAACATTTCTCCTGAACAACTCTCAGAAATCCTGGCCACCACAGCTAGTGGTGAAGGCTTCTGGAAGTTCTAGTTCAAGCCTAGCTGGGAACCCAAAGTTGGGACCACTACTGTAGAAGTTCCTATTAGTATAGCAACCCAGACAATGAATAGCTTTTCCATTTTATATGCATTGTGAGAACAGAGTAGGTGCATACAACACTTTGTCCTTCCAGTTTGGTCTGCCGGGATGAGCATCAAAGCTTATGTGAGGAGTAAAGCTCTGTGCTTGTTCTAGACCCTCCACAACTTTGGTGAAGGAGGGCTTTTTTGAAGGGAGGATGTGGGGGTGAATTAATGGCCATGTTGGCTGGGGGATTCTGAGAGTTGATAGTCAAAAAGTCACGGTTCCAAGCAAATATATGCCAGATTGGGCACTTCCAGTGCATCCAATGAAGCAGGATGGGGGATGTGTGGCCATCCAGATGGAATGTAGAAAATGAACTGTTTTGTACAGTGGTGCCCCGCTTGATGCTGAAATCACTTAACGATGCCTTTTTTGCAATTGCAAAACGATGATTCAGTGGGGTTTTTTCGTTTGATGACAATCGGTTCCCTGCTTCGGGAACCGTTTCTTCGCTAGACGACAATTAGAAACAGCTAATCGGCGGGGTCGCAAAATGGCTCCCTGCTGTTTTCAGGACCGATTCTTCGCTTTACAGGCATTGCAAAATGCCTGCCGTATGGAGGATTTTCGCTGCACGAGCAGGTATTTTCCCCATTGGAACGCACTGAACTGGTTTTCAATGCATTTCAATGGGGTTCCCCCCACTTGACAACGATTTTGCTTAACAGCAATTTGAATGGAACAGATTATCGTCGTCAAGCGAGGCACCGTATTACTTTTCCTAGAATCCTAGAGCCAGCTTTATGCATGGGGTGGAGAAAATTCATAGGGAATGGTTTTCTACCTCTTTCATAAGAACCCAGCAGGCGCCTGCTGCAGATGAATGCTGGGGACAGAGACAAAACGAAGTACTTCATGAAGCCCAACTGTGGAATTTGGAACTACAGGATTGGCCAACAACTTTGATGGTACTAAGGCAGTTGGACAAATTCATGGAAAATAAGGCTACTAGTGGTTATTAGTCATGCTAATATATATTACTTTCAATACTGGAGGCCGTATGCCTCTCAGTAGTAGTTACTGGGGAAGGTGAATGGGAGCTTGCATTTGTACTCATGTCCCGCTTGTGGGTTTCCCATTGAGGCATCCTTCTGGCTACTGTAGGAACAGAGAGCTTTTCTAGATAGGCTTTAAGTTTGATCCAACAGGTCTCTTCCAGTGCGCTCAATATTGTTTTTCAGATCAACTACCATTAGAAACTAGTGAGAAATGTTCTGTGTTCCTCAAAGCTCTTCTTTGGGCTTGTTGTTATGCAAGTTTGTGGATGACTTTTATATTTCCAGAAAGAAAGTAGCAATTGTTTCAATGTTCCAGTCCACATTTTTGGGGGGGGGAGGGCACGGGGGAAAGAAGGCAGGGCCTTCTAGGAATCAGATGTGTCTACTAGTGTGCAGCAGAAAGCCATTCTATGTCCATGTCTATGAATGAGCTCTGGATTCTCAAAGCAAGAGGCTAGTTTTTCTGTGCAAGCACCAGTCACTGCAAGGAGCTTCTTCCCGTAGATAAGATACAGATGTGCCCTTCCTCTGCCCTTAGGAAGCAGCTGTGGTAGTTCAGCTTGGAAGTGATGGAGTGGCTCAATATCTCCAGGTCTTCAAGAATCTTGGTGGAACTGTATTTTCCCCCTTAATCTTACCCAGAGCATTACTTGCCAGAGCATTACTCTGTTGCCTTCTTGCTGAGGAGGATTTTCTCAGAAGAACATTGTGAATCCTTTGGATCCAAATAGTTTCGATGTTCTGTGATTCAAATCAACAATTCAAACTAAGTTGTTCAAACAGTTTTTGTGCATGTGTTTTGCACAACAGACTAACTGAATGTATTTATTTATTCTCTACAGGAAAAAAAGTCCATGTTTTTGGATTCTAAAATCTATGACTTTTAAAATTATTTTTATCCCTTCTATTTTCTGACCATTTCTCAACTTCTTTTTCTCTTTCTCTAGGGTTAATCTCTCCTGGAGTGTCAGTTCCTGTACAAGTCCCTGGTGGGGACCCTGATCTTGCCCAGTACTGGCCAAGGTTACAGTGAGGAAAGAGTTGGAGGGAGAACTGAAAGACAAAAGGGAAGTGATACAGGAATGGAGAGGAAAGGGTTTTCCTTCCCAGGGTCAATACGGCAATGGGTCACGATAGCTGGGGGAGGGAATGGTAGAAAGGGAGGCCTGCCTTCCCCAACTTTGTATTATCTATGTTAGACAACCATGTCTGTGTTGTTGTCGAGCTTTCTCCTTCCCTCAGTGGGTGCATGCATTTGCCATGGGGGAGGAGGACAATCCCTCAGTTGTCCACCCCTTTCCCATTACACATTCTGTCCTGTGAATTCCTTCTTTTCCTCACCCTCTCCCCTCCTAAAAGAGGGCCATGAGAATAAAATAAAGTTGCCAGAAGTATCATGGGAAGAGGGGGAAGAAAACCCACTCCCTTGGGGATCTAGTGTCAAGAACTGAGGGAGGGGGAGAGAAAAAAGATCAACCCTGGGAGAAGAAAAGAAATGAAGGGGACCCTTGAAAGCTAAGTAGGTACTGACAGAAAAAGAAGCAGCCACATCAGACTCTTGTGAAAAGGGTTGTTAAAGAAGACAAACAACAACAACAACAACAGATTGTGAAGAGAATTAAGCACCAGTCCCCTTTCAAGATATTGCGAAAGGTTATGTGGAGGGAAACACTGCTACTGCCATAAGTAAAAAGTATTGTGGGGAAGAATGCATTGATCTCTCCCTACTTTTGCCTTCCTACAATATCACGGGATGTATGGTCTTTGAGCAAAGCTTCTGGGGCTCTTTTGCATTTGGGAGGGTTACTAGCGTTACTTCCTAGGTGTGTGGTGGTGTTCAGTGTCTGTTCTCCTTACACGACTTCCCTTTAAGCCAGTTCACATTCGTCTCATCAGTTCATTCTGCCTCCTTCTAACCCATCTCTTTATCTTTCCTGCATGGAATTCACTTAGTTGGGTTTCACTCAGATCCCAGAAGGCTTGTGACCTCTGATCTACACAGAACACCCCCCACCCACACCTACACAAACAGACACACTACTTGTAGGTTCAAACTGTTTTCACCTGTGTTAATAAAGGACCTGTGTAAATAATACTGTGTGAGTGTGTGTAATGTAGTCATCATACCCCATTTATTGGCCATACACTTGAGAGAGTGAGAGTCCAGGAAGAGAAAACGTTGAAGACAGCAACCCCAGAGGAAGGACTGGAAGGAGCCATCGTTCATCTAGAGCAGTGGTCCCCAACCTTGGGCCACCAGATATTCTTGGACTTCAACTCCCAGAAATCCTGGGCAGCAGAGGTGGTGGTGAAGGCTTCTGGGAGATGCAGTCCAAGAACATGTGGAGGCCCAGGGTTGACCATCGTTCATCTAGAGCAGTGTTTCTCAATCTTGGATTCCCAGATATTCTTGGACTTCAACTCCCAGAAATCCTGGGCAGCAGAGGTGGTGGTGAAGGCTTCTGGGAGATGCAGTCCAAGAACATGTGGAGGCCCAGGGTTGGGGACCACTGATCTAGAGCAGTGTTTCTCAATCTTGGATTCCCAGATATTCTTGGACTAAAACTCCCAGAAGCCTTCACCACTAGCTGTGTGACCAGGATTTCTGGGAGTTACAGTCCAAGAATATCCAGGGACACAACCCAGAGTCTGCGGGAATTGGATAATGGTGGTTGGTGGCCGTTTAGATTGCTAAGTGGGGAGAGAAGCTTGGGACACAACCCAGAGTCTGCAGGAATTGGAAAATGGTGGTTGGTGGCCATTTAGATTGCTAAGTGGGGAGAGAAGCTTGTTTAGTGGGGAAACATGCCAAACCAAAATCAAAAACAAAACAAAACTTGAAACGAACTGTTATGTTGATGTATAAGGAAGTACATGAAAGAAAAATATCTGTGATTATAACAGATAATTGTCAATCCATAAAATTAGTCAATATCCAACCTGGCTCATATTATATCCAATTTGGTAATGTAGTTGGAGTTCATGTGTCCTTGCCTGCGACCTGCTGCTATTGCAACTCATTGTTGGACCCTTTTCTGATGCCCCATGGTGCAACAGTGCAATAAATATGCAGCCCTTTTTTCGAGTGCTTTCTTTGGAAACCTGTGTTTTGTTCAGCATTCATCCACCTGCCTCCCTTTGTTTTTTGTGGTTGTTTTTTCCTTGAGTGTGTGAGAAGGAAAAGCAGCAGGGCCTGTGGTTTTGAGGTGCTGAATAACAGCAGTAGCTGCCTCAGCCACCTGAAGACTTGCTCCATTCAAGGTTATTGTAAATCATGCGTCTCTCTAAGATGACTGTGCACTTGTAGAATGTGCGCCAGATGTTTTACTATGTGGACCCAAGAATAATGCAGGCAAAAGAATGAAATCACATGCAGACCAAATATGGAGGTGTACTTCATTTCTGTCCTATCTACAAAATTGGGACTTTTCTGAGGTGCATATGCACAGCATACTAGCATTACTTTTGGGGGCACCATACTCAAGGCTTCAGATCTCTCTAGTAGTACAACTGCTTAATCAGGTCATTGCAGAAATCCTGCCTTTATTCAACAAGAGTAACACAACTAGAAAAGAAACCACATCACTCATGGCTGTCGTAGGGTTGAGCTTCTAATGCTGAGGATTTGATTCTAGACGGAATGTGTAGGGCTGAGGACTCCATGGCACTTTAGATATTGTTAGGACATGACACCCACCATACCAGACCATATTGGTTAAGACTGTCTGGTGTTGGAGTCTAACAGGTGCAGGTGGGTGCGATACCTGATATTGAGAATAAAAACATATATTTCTAGGAACCATAGCTGAGTACAAATGGACCACTACTTATTTATGTAATCACATCATTCATTCATTTACAGGATCAACATAAATTGGAGGCAACTTGATCACACATAAAGATAGCTAGTACAGTACGTCTATCAGATTGTCAGATACCTTGGCAACGATGCAGAAGGCTTCATATAATTTCTGGGTCTACTGTCTAATTAAGAAAACCTTCATGAATTAATCATCTGTATTTTAGTTGTTCAGTAGAAGACTTGGTTAAATTTGCATATGAGAAAGAGAAGCTCTTTTAAAAATGCATACTCACACTCTAGCATACTTTCTTGCGTTCTTCAATGATGCATGTCTGTGTTGCAAGAATGGTCATGTTAGAAAAGCCATCCTGTCATCCAACCTACAAGTGACTGCCTTTTTACAATGGTGCTTCATCACTGTGGAGTTTATAAGTACAGTATTTGTATTTAAAAAGAAGTATTTTTTTTTTAAAAATTATCTGTCCAGTTAAACTGGGATACCTTTTTTTTTATTTGCTAGAAAAACTTTTTGATTGATCAGTTAAATTGATGGATCATCAACATTTTACAGCCCTAAGAATTTTCATCTAGGAATATCCCCAAATTTGGTTAGATTTAATTATGTGAATTAATGTCAGAGGGACAAAAAGACATATTTGGTCTACTGTGCTGATCAGATGACGTAATTGCTGAACTGAACCAAATAATCTCCAGAGTGTTCCCACCTGCACCTTTCTGGGCCCTGTCTGAGGTGTCTCCCCCCTTTTTTTGGTGTAAATAGGGTAGATCCAGTTTCGTCCATTTCCAGCACATGTGATCACTAGGAATGGACTGAAAGTGAGCCTTCTGGCTGTTAGGGCTCCCTCCAGTTTGAATCTGATGTTGTGAAGTGGCTTAATAAGCAAGTCACCAGGATATCAGCAAACTGAAAACTTCCTCTGCTCCTTGGTGAATTTTTATACTGCAATAGACCATCGCTTGGTGAAGGGGCAGAACTGAATTTTTATACTGCAATAGACCATCGCTGATGCACTGCATCACCTATAAAACAATTAAAATTATATTTTCTTTGCCTAGTTTGAAGGGTCGGTCAAGAAACTGCCCCCAACTTGTGGACTTGTTGGACTTCAGAAGGAATAGCACTTTCTTTTTTAAAAAGGGGGGCACTAGGAAACTGATGGTGATCATGGCAATAACCCTTCCAAATTATACCGTATTTTTCTGTGTATAAGACTATACTTTCATCTAAAATCTTTAGACTAAAAATTGAGGGTTGTCTTATACACGGAAGTAAGCTGGAGAGAAAAAAGGTGGAGGGGAAAGCAGGGATCAAAGTGACCCTGCAGGGCTTTGATCCCTGCTTTCCCCTCCACTTGCTAAGCCTTAGCAAAAGGAAAGCAGGGATCAAAGTGCTGCAGGATCGTTTTGATCCCTGCTTTCCCCTCTACTTGCTAAGTCCCATGGGGTTTAGCAAAAGGAGGGGGAAGGATCAAAGCAATCCCGTGGCTGTATAAGGGGGAAAGGGATCAAAATGATTGCGCAGTCGTGGAATTGCTTTGATCCCTTTCCCTCTCCTTTTGTGAAGCCACACAGGGCTTAGCACAAAGGGAGAAAGCAGAGATGAAAGCCATCCTGCAGCACTTTGATCCTTTTTTCCCTACATTCGCTAAGCCCCACATAGATTTCTTAATTTTTGGGTTAGAAAAGTGGGGGGGGCATCTTATACATGAAAAAATACAGTAAGTCCTCAGTCCATAGCCCAAGGGGCTCATCAGTGTTTCTGAGCCAATTTCCTGCCAAAAGTAATTTGGTTTAGTTTGTTAAAACTTTCTTCTCATGATTGGGTCTATTCTCGGTTCCTGTTTATTCATAGAGCCCCCCAGCTCCCACTCCACCCCATAGCAAGTTGTGAGAGAACCACAAAATATCACACCCTTCTGAGATTGGAGCACCTGCAAGCAGGAAGTGGTTGGAGGCAGTTGGCCAAGGGTGTGGGACCACTTCGCCTATGTGGTTTGAGTGTGTGCCAAGATGGGATGGGAAGCCAGGCCTGGATACCAAACATACAAAAAGTATCAATTTGATTTGGTACTAACTGAAAGGATGGTGAGAGAAATATGCCCTCTGTTTGCCCTCTTGTAAATGGGCAGAGGACTGCGGGAGGAGCCAGTTTCCTAAGAACTTAACAGTGGATTGTAAGGGGTAAGTGTCCATGCTTGAAAGCTTATGCAACACTCTCTGGCTAAAATCGTGTTGCTTAGCATAGTAAGTTGCTCTAGAGTAGGCCCATTAAATCAATGAGGATTTGGTGAATCAATTTCTCCTTAAGTTCCATTGATTCAAAGGGGCCTATACTCTAATGTTGGCTTATTACCATAAAGTATATTGCAACTAGAGTAGGGCCCATTGGAGTCAATGGAATTTAGGGAGGCATTGGCTCACCAAATCCCCATTGATTCAATGGGTCTACTTTAGCACCACTTACTGTGCTAAGCAACAGGATTTTAGCTTCTATCTGCTGTAGAAAATGCCTAAGATAATATATTTTCCTTAAGGATTATAGAAGGAACATGCTGCTAGCCACTTTGGCAACTGGAACAAAGGTTTTATTTGGCACCCTCCGCTCCCAATACTAATTCTTATCGCTCTTATTTATTTATTTATTTATTTCATTTATACCCCGCCTATCTAGTCAATTGTGACCACTCTAGGCGGCTAGATTTATTCTTTCAGATTTATTCAAATACAGATAGGTGTTGCGTTGTTGGCTAAGTAGACATGCGTATGCAACAAAGACTTTTGTGGTGCCTTAAAAAGTGGCAACTTTAATTTGGCTCACATTGTCATGGACTGTAGGCCACCTTATCAGATGGCACCTCTTTCAAGAGCTATTGTTGGTTTTGCTGCAACAGATCAACAAGGTTACCTGCCCATCCTGGAAGCAGATGTATTTATGGAACAGAAGAAATGGAATCTGGGCACCTGTGTGTGATCTGCTATAGCCCTTCTTTGGCTGCATGCATTTCATGCTTCTGCAGGGGGACTGTATAGCTTAGTTTATCATCAGTATAGCAGTAGGAGATGACACAAGGAACGGGTTGTTGGAAGGTCTTTGGGTACAGGTCCAAGTCTTTGGTATCAAGTTCTGAGTCTTTGATATTAAGTCCAAAGTCTGGTAAAAAGGTAAAGGTTCCCCTTGACAATTTTTGTCCAGTCGTGTTCGACTCCAGGGGGCGGTGC